AACAGCAATTATGCTGAGTCAGGCTTGATTTTTAGTAATCTTTTCCTGTTGAATCAATAAATCAAATCAAATCAATGCTGTATATGAACGTTATCTGAGCGAGCAGAACGTTGGCCCAGCGGATATTCACCTTCATCACTCTTAACATTTTAAAACATTTCCCCTTTCTCCATCAGCTGAGCTGCAGGAAACAGAAACAGCAAGAAAACGGACGGAAGCTGGGAGGACTCCGARCAAACGGCTCCGGCTCAGTGCTCCCTCCAACCTCACGCTTCTTAATCAAAACTGGCACTGTGGCAATTACCTAATTACACATCAATTAATCCACAGCCTTCAGCCTTCAGCTGTGTCTGACCTGACGAGTAATGACAAAACCGCCGCAGAACTGAGGCGGCAGAATGATGGAGGTCCGGGGGGCAGCATTCGAGAAACTTTTGAGGTAAAAAAAAAAAAAAAAGAATCAGCACAGTTCATTTCATAATTAACAGGTAAGAATGTAATTGATTGAGACGTGAAAGCCTAATCAGTCAATTCAATAAGCGGGAAATCTGTGCTGAGTGGATTATTTCAATTATGTGATTAAAACCGAGGCGAGGGAGCTATAGAGCTGATTGAAGGTTAAACGGGGAGCCTCGCCTCCTCTCCCCGTCAACATTTAACGTTACGTCCGCCGGACAAATACATACAAACGCTTCATTTGTCTTTTTTATTAGACAGAGCAATTCCACAAACAGCAGTTAGGCTGAAAATTACATTCAAAATGTGCAGCTGACCGAGACACACCTGCAAACAAAAATAACAGTCAATCACGTTTTTTTTCCCTCTTTTCTGTTTTTTCTTTCTTCACATTCGGTTTTAAATTCATGTTTAAATTCAAATGTACAAAAGCAAAATCTTTCACCATCAAAGCATACATACCTCAGTCACAAGAAAACYTTTTACAGGAACAACTAGTTTTTAACGCTGTACAACAGGTGTGGATTGAAGGCTATTTTTTTTATTATTATTTATTCTAACACTCACACACAACAAGTGCTGCACCACTTCTCTAAATGCTATTTAACATTAGCTTGGTGTGAAATGATCACACTGCAGGTCGCAGAAATCCACTCGTTTTCCAGTAACGTCAAGGATGAGGCCCAGCAGCATGATGAGAACTTCACCACAGTTTGTACAAAGGTGGCAGAGGASYAGGAGGAGGAGGAGGAGGTTCTGTTCAGCTCGTTCAAGTCAGGGGGACGTTCTGGCTAACACTGGTTAAAGAGGGGAAGTGCCCAAAGACTTGTTAAGGAGGTTTATTTGATCCAAAGCACAGAAAACAGAGCCGGTTCAGCTCAGAGGTGATTCCTGCTCAGCTGTGTATCACTGGCCAACGAGGATCCAGCGCGTGGAACCACTCAAAGCCCACCAAATCACACCAATCTGAAAGTCTGTCCACGGTCGGCCCACAGCTGACAGGAGAGGGGTGGAGATCCATCCGCTACTTTTTCTTCCTTTTTCCCCCTGAACATATCTTCAAACTAAGTGCAACGCTTTTGTAAACGGTTAATGAAAGCTCTTTTCTCCCATCGCGCTTGGTCCGCAGCAGAGTTCGGTTCCCGTGGTGGGGGAAACAACAACGGGTCCTCTTCTACCTGCCAAAAACACTTTCGTACTCGATCAGTATGAGCTCCACTATCTGGTTCTGGTAGACCATGTGCACGGCGATGTTGCCCGTCTCGGTCTCGGGCCGCAGCAGCGTGGGTCCGAACACGATGGCGACGCTCTGGGTGGTCATGCGGTTGGCCTCTCCGTGCTCCGTCACCCTGCGAGGAGGAGGAGGAGGTGGGGGTGTGGGGGGGTGGAGGGGAATCGGAACCAGGAGAGATTTACAGATTAGATTTCAGGCATTTGTCTGACAATCCGTTGGGGTTTCGTAAAAAAAAAAAAAAAACCTCCCGTGTTTTTACACAGCTCTGGGGCTTTGGATCGAGCACCGAGGCAAACACAAACACTCTGCAGCGCTACGAATCGCTCCGGGCGGGGAGGAGAATAGCCTTCTTTTTAAATAGAATCTACATCCTTGCATGTTGATGCACAAAACAATAACATATTCATGGAAGGGGGGGGGGGGGGCAGATTAAATCCTCCTGCAAACCTCCATACACTGAATGTCACGCTATAAATTTCCTCAAGAAACACCACTTCATAGGTACAGAATTACAGCAAACACGACGCCATATAAATGCAAATGGGAAACCTAAGCAAATGTCATTGTGAACGTATGATAGAGCCACTGGCTGTGCCGGGCTAAGAATACACTCTGGCTGAGGCTGGTYTGTGCTCAGAGACAGATTAGTGCGGAGAAGTAAACAGCTGAACTGAGCCTCAGTTTGACCCAAACAAAATGAAGGGGGAGTCTATTTTAAGGGGTATTCTGGACGTCGTAAACAGGGTCCCTACCTTTTGTGGAAAACTCTCTGAATGACAGTTTTTAAACTCTGATCAGAGAAAAGCGGATTTTCTGAATAAGTTTGGACGATTGGACGAGTGAGTCAACCATCAAACATCGGAGTCTACTAGTGGTAGTTTGCTTGAAGAATGTTTTTCACTTGGTGTTTTTATCCTCGTCCAGCAGTTTTAACGTAAAGCTGGCCTAGACAGACACAAACTGACTGAGTGGAATTCACTTTATTTCCCAAAGGGACGCTGAAACTGTCCATCCCTCAGCCTCATGACACCAAAGACCTGCATAAACCAAGAGTTTTGTTCAAATTAGCAACAATTTCTGAATATTTGTTATTATTTTTAAAATAAAAATAACTGACAAGTTATAAAAATACTTATTTTAAGAAAAATCACGTGTAAGTTTATGAAAATGTAGCAGAGAAAAGAAAAAGCAAAATAAATAAATAAATGAACTCACTTGTTTAAAGTGAGCTTTAAATTTCAAATATGAACTAAGAATGATGACATCAGATGTGTGAAATAAAGGAAAATTAATATAATTGTTATTATTGGGCTCAGGGCTGTTATTGTTTTTGTTTATTCATTAAATGTTTTTTTTCTTAAATTCTTTCTTAAGTAAATATGGTKTTAGAGGGTTGGCACTACAATGGGTATCTAGTTATTTGAAAGACAGGAAACAGTTTATACAAATAAATAGTTTAAAATCTAAACTTGGTAATCACATGTGGAGTCCCTCAGGGCTCTGTACTGGGACCTAAGTTATTTATTTTATATGTGAATGACTTAGTAAATGTGTCAGSACTTTTCAAATGTGTTTTATTTGCTGATGATACAACATTTTTTTGTTTAGGTGAAAATATAGAAAAAATGTTTGAGATGATACAGAAAGAATTTGAGAAAATACAAGATTGGTTTCAACAAAACAAATTGTCATTAAATTTGGATAAAACAAATTACATGATATTTAGTAACAGGAAGACAACTGTTGATTTTTCATTTAAAGTAGATGGTATAGAGATCTGTAAAGTCAGTGAGGTGAATAATCTAATAAAGTTCATTGTGTCTATAAAATCAATCTACAACGTGTTCCTAATTACTAGACACTTTTTTATTTTTTATGTCTGTACAGACATAAAAAATAAAAAAGTGTCTAGTAATTAGGAATCAGTGAGGTGAAGTTTCTGGGTATCATCTTGATGACAAGCTGACATAGAGACCTCACATACATTATTTAAGAACAAAAATAGCTAAATCCATTGTAGTACTGTATAAAGTCAGTGAGTTTTTTAATGACAAAGCTCTGCTTGTGATGTATAATTCAATAATTGTTCCACATTTAATTTACTGTATTGAAGTCTGGGGTAAAGCTTGRAAAACAATTACAAATCCAATTTTTGTTTTGCAGAAAAGAGCCGTAAGAATTATCGCTAGAAAAAATTACAACCATCCATCAAATACATTATTTTGCAAACTGAAAAATTTGAAATTCTATGATTTGGTTGAATATAATATTTTACTGTTTATGTACAAGGCTCACAGAAACATATTACCTTCCAACATTCAGGTAAATTTTGTTAAGAGAGACAGTTGTTATTATCTTAAGGGGATGGAAATGTTTGTGAAACCATATTTTCGTATTTGCTTGAGAGAAAGGTGTACTTTAATCCAGGGTATAGTTTAATCCAGGGTATAGTTTAATCCAGGGTATAGGATTGTGGAATGGTCTGGAAGATGATCTTATAAATGCCAGATCTATGCATATATTTAAGAGACAGATAAAAGCAAGTTTTCTGAAAGTATATGAAAAGTAAAATGAAAAGCTATATGAATTGTTATTTGAGTTGATGTTTTTATGTCGTTGTTTTGTTTATTTAATATTGTTTTGCAAATTATGGTTCTTTGAATATATTCTGGGGATAAAAGGGGCAGACGTTATAAGATMTATTCTTCTTCTGCTACCTTTCATTTTATTTTGATTTTTTATTTGTATATTTTCCTTGTTTTTATTGTAATGAAATGAATGAAATTTTTGAATTGAAAAAAAAAATTGAAGAATATGTCAAACTACATCATATATTCATGATTAAATGTTAAAGGACAATAAATCTTATTGAAACAGAAGACAGTATGTAAATAATGTTGAAATTAACTTAGAATACTAGTTCAGTTCAGTTCAGGAACATAACGTCAGGGTTAAGAGGTCACTTTACGCTACAGGAATCAAAACAGAGTTAAAGTGCAAAAAATCAGTAATAATTCAATGCAGCTCCACCCTGTTGTTAATCTGCACTTAATGAACACTTAAAGTTATAACAGCTGTCGAAAAGTTAATTTTTTTACTGATTTTGAGTAAAATTTTCTGCACATTTGTATTTATGTTTTAATATATGTTGGTATAAACCGGTCCAAGCAGTTCCAAAGCTGCTTTTGTGCTTTAAAATGTATCTGATATTTAATATTTAACAAATGCAAACATTAATACTTAAACTTTTACACTGACGTCAGTTTCCTGTTACACAAGGATTCTGACAGAAACCTTTTGAAATCCCTGCTTGAATTGATTTCAGGCTCCCTCCTGCAGCCTCTGATGCTTTTTATGCCACAGAAATATATATATATATATATATATATATATAAAAAGTTTAATTGTGCACTGTTTTTATCTTTATTCAGGTTTTTATTCAAACACATACAGGGCTTTTTTTTCATATTATTTACTGTATTTTGCACTATGCAGGTCTTTTATCTTCTCACTCATACAGTATAGATGAGACCTGAGGAGTCTCCAGCATGACCCTACAAGCTGCAGGACATCTTTTCTACTGGGCCATAATGTGAAACTGACGGTGGAGTAAAGACCTATAAAACAGCGTTCATATAAATGTAATTTCTGAGACTGGAGCTGTAATATGTTGGCAGCAATCCACTAAATCAGTGCTGCTGGACTTAAACTGAGTTATCTTTAAATCAGAATCCTATTCAATGGTCAAGTGTGTAAAGAYCATGAGGAATTAGTATCTGACTGAGTGCCTCAGGTAGTGTAGAACAATACAAAAGAAAAAAGCATAACTACAATATTAAAGGCATTATTTGTTTACAGTCGTTTCACAGAACCCTGCTTTAAAATGCACAAAATATACCTTTGATCAAATCTTATTTATGACAAGAAGAAGAAAAGGATCCATAATTAAGAATCTGATCAAAAATYTAAATGATTATCACATTTCAAAATAAAAGGCTACATTTTTATATGTATTTGGGGAGAATGGGGATCTTAGACTAGCAGTGTTATATTATTGAACAGAAACGACTCAAAGTGGCTTCATACCTCTTCAGGTGTTTGAAGAGGGCCTGCATTGTGTCGTGGTTGGGTTTTGGCAACTTCTTGATCAAGTCTTTGACAAAATTCACRCGCTGCTTGTAGTCTGAGCATTCTGATAAAGAGAGAGAATAAAGACATTAACATCATATTAGCGCCATCTGGTGGCCAAGATTAGAACTGCACCTGTAGGGCGGGGCAGTTTTACTCTGAGGTGTTTACATTTGTTGCTGTGTTTATTTTAGCTTCAACAGAGAAGAGGTCACTCACTGATGGCGTTCACAAAGTCGTTGAAGGAGCRGTATGTGAAGAGAGGCTCAGGAAGTTCCCTGAAGAACATCTTCAGAGCACCGGTGGTGACATGGATGTCCTCCCACTTACTGTCGCTCAGATCCACCGCCTCATCTAAAGCAAACAAAGTAAAACAATAAACACGACACTGATCCCAGGGAAGCGCTTCAACAGTGTCTTAAAAAAATCATACAACCAGTTTTTGTTGCGTTTAAACCACAAATTTTATCAAGTTTAACAGTTTTTTTTAATGATAGATAAACAAAGCATCACATGATTATCTACCATGATTGACAGCAAAGCGAAGCTTCTGGATCACCGCCAAGTTCCCGCTTACTCTGTACAAACCGTCCACGTTGAGCCCTGCAGACATGAGAGCCAGACAGAGGCAGTGAGCGGACCGCACATCTGACACAAAACCAGGAGCCAATGAGACCGACTGAGACCTGATCYGTTCTGACGGGAACAACTCCTGCAGCAGACCCCTGACCCTCTGTTCCCACAGTTACTCACAGCTAGGTTTAGATAACTATAAAACAGTTTGCCTTGTATGCCAGTGAAAAAAAAGCACTTTAAAAAGTGACTAAGCWGCTTTTGTTTTTAGTCTCAGGTCATGAAGATTGTTCCAAGACATCCACCTGGTCATGGAGGTGCAAAAAAAGACTTGAGGTTTTAAAACTGGTCTAATAAAAGGACTAATATTTGGTGGAAACAAATGGTAATTCAGTGGCTTCAGAAAATGAAACCCTCGTCATAATTTATTCAGTTTTATGTTAAATTTTTTCTCTCTTCACCTTTTTCTCGGTACTTGAATTCATACCTGTGTTCTCCACGTGGTCGATGCACATTGTAACAAAGTTGGGCACCGATGTGTTCTCCCTCTGGCAGAGACTGGTCAGACTGCAGCCGAACACCTGATCTGTGAACAGACACACAAGAACCGATGAGTCCCGAGTCCTTGTCCAGCTGGAACACGTGGACATCCTAAACTGATCACCTTTGATGTATCCTTTGTCTCGGACGGCCTGATAGGTGGGCCGCCTCGTCAGGAACTTCTTCAGCTTCATCCTGGTTTTCTTCTGGTCTGAGGAGTCCATGCTGACAGAGTTCTTCATGACTGAGGGCAGACAGCAGAGRGGTGACACAGACTGTATCTGAGTCCTGTTCACGTCAACAAACCCAGCTGGACTCACCTCTGCTCTTTTTGGAGTCTCGGTGGTCCTTCTCTTTGTCCTGTTTCTCAGCACCAGGAGACTCAGGCATGTCCTCCTCGATGGCCTCGTCTGACTCCCAGGCCTAGACCACAGCAACAATGTAGCACGAAAARATGCAACGTTATTTTCAAGGTTTGACCAGAACTGTTACTCTGTTCTTTCTACTGGTGAGATAATCTAAAGTTTTCAACTCTTGCATACAATGTAAACGCCTGGCTTTGAACTGACAGGAGAATGAGAAGCAGCCGACTCAAAGTGTTTGATGTTAACGCCACACTGCAGACCTCCACTCACATGTGTGCTGATGGTCTCTGTCAGGGCCCGGTACCAGTCGTTGATAACGCTGTCWATCTCAGACTGGATCAGCAGCTCTGTGCCCTGACGGGTCTTCAGCTGAGGGAAGGAAAAAAGCTACAAGTCAAAACCGGCGCTTCATCACAGGTCGAGTCGGCTCTCGGACAGCTCATCGTTCCAATACCTCAATCACGTGCTTTTTGCTGGACTTCTCCTTGGAAGCCCACTCCACCGACGCCCCCCGCAGGTCAACGGTGAACTCGGGTTTGGACTGATTGCRGCCGAACTTCTGGAATCAAGATAAAAATAAATAAATAAGAATCTGACACAAACTTGTGTTGTGCACATGACACGTTGTTGTTTCCAGTTAGAAAGAAGCAAAGTGAGATGCAGATTTAAAAGATTATCTTTGCTTAATAACCCACAGAGTGKAAAAGTTCTGAAACTGAATTCAAAACCTGTTCAGTGAAATTAATACACAAGAAAATGTCACGGAGTCACAAGCATTTTTAGTAATGTTATGAGAAAACAAAAACCCTACTAATCAACACACATTGTTTTAACYTTTTAATAATTAACACACTCCTTTTCTATTGTTAAATCTGCATTTAATGTGAGTTATTTCCATACAACACTTAGTATAATCCATTTCACTTGATTAGTTCTTTAGGGTTTATTTYCATATTTGAACCATTGGGTTGAAATACAACCTAACTAATGCCTTTTACCTGTGGAACAAATTCTTTACAATTAATCAGTTGATAACATTAAATATAACTAGATAATCTCTGAAGAAAGTTTCACGTGTGTCGATGCAGATACGYACCAAAATCCAACATACTTGGTAGTAATCTAACCTAAGAAACACATGCCTGTCTGTTTTATATGCAGTGATAAGAAAGCAAAGCTCATCAGAAACATTAAAGCTGCTGCCAGCAGTCACCACGGTAACCACACACCTGTGTCTCACTCCCTGACTGACAAGTTGAAGAGAGTCAGACAGAAACAGACTGAAAAGACTCTACAGATAGAGCTTTATAATTAAATTTGAGCAGAAGACTGATGCAACAAGTGATTTTTTATGTTTCTACAGTGTTTTATGTAGGAGTGATGAGATGTTTAAAAACTTCACTTTAAGGCTCAAGAGATGAAATCTCTCCTGTGCTCAATCTGTGCACATTTTGTACTCAAAACGATTTAAACGTTCTACAGCTGATAAACTAGGTGAAAGAAGACCAAAACATCTACATATTATGTAAGAATTTTTTTATGTATAAAATAGAAGTGAGAAGAGTTTGTCGATTGAAAATGTGACAATTCAAAGGTTGGTGTGTGATGRCATTTATTTCAGTAACCGAGACTATTAATACTTTTTTGTGAAAGTTAAAGTCACATAAAATTTGAAACTACAAAATAAATGTTAAACACTCACTTTGTGTTAGCAGCTAGCTATGTGCTAATATACAGTTCACACATGGAGGAATGTATTAAACACCTGCTGAGGWATTTATCAAACTTATAAAAAGAAAAAAAAGCGCATCGACGCACGTAAATTACAATTACTTTGGGTTTCCAAACAAGACTCGGGACCATCCCTCTCACTTTCCACTGCTGCTGTCGATCATCTAGAACTCCAAACTTTGCCATTTGACTGATTTAAAACAAACAGGAAAGTCATCTGGACCAACTATTGRTGTTTTGTGGGGAGTMCTTTAGACATATACAGTGGTGGGCAGCGCTAATCCAAAAATTAGCTCTGCAATTTCTGAAGCGCTTWTGAAAATATTTAGGTCTGCGACTTCAAAAGCGCTTATGCCATAGAAAAACTAGCGGAGGCTAATTTTAAAGCGCAAGTTCAATTTYACACTTGCTAGCTGGCAACAATTCATGTACAATATATGRACAACACTGCCAACTAGCGGTGCATGACCCCTTGTACAGCTTAATCCTACAACTGCCGATTGCTGGGGATGTGTTTTCCTGAAACAGAACTTTGGCTCCTGGTYTAAAACTTAAAAAGTTATTGAGGATTGTTAGTTRGYCTGCTTCTTTGTCWTTGTCTTTTATTTGTTGTAGATTTTTCATTAAAGATGCATCAATAAAGTAATTTTAAAACTGTTTATTGGAAAACTGAAGCGATGCATTCTGGGTACATGACGGATTTGATTTGTGACAGGAAACGAAAGCACGCTGTACAGGAAACTATCTTCTCTTCAAAATAAGAGCTTGGATTTTAAAGTTTTCCATGTAGTTCCTCCAGTTGACCACTAGGTGTCTGTCTTCATCAGCATAACATCTTTAAATCATTTCTGAGTCTCTAAGTTGGCTGATTGCTTCGACCAATTACGTCAAGTATTGAGCTTCAGCATTTAAACTTTATTTTAATTTTTTTAAAAGGAGCTCTGATTGTAAAGTAAAATAAATCAATACATACAAAATTTTAGTATGGATTACAAACGATAACTGTTTTTGCTACTGCCTTCCTGCTACGTAAGCAGACACAAAGCATTGTGGGAAATCAGAGCCGTGACCGAAAGCAACAGTCAGCAAGGATGTATACCTTCTCAATAAGTGCATTTATCTGGGAGGGGTGCTGTTGGATAGATCACGTGTGTTGTGTTCCTTTTCAGTCATTTCACTCAGTACAACACAGTTGTATATGGGACACGCGCGCCCTCGTGCGCCTGGCTGAAGCCACCTCTAATCTCGTCTTTAGACCTGTGACATGGTGACGTTGAACGTCGGGTGACAGGCTCCGCCTTCACCCTATAAGTTCGGAGTCACCTGCCGGGCCTGTGCCGGACTTTCACGTCCGACACTGGAGAGGAGAGTGAAATTCCTGGAGAAAATGCTGGGAGAAACTGCTGTTTTCTGACAAGACCCGCTGCTCTCCGAATCCAGCCAGACGGCTCAGTCCGACGAAGACGAGGATTCGGCGGTCGAAGCCCCCGCTGCTAGCTGGGTGGACCAGATGGAGCACGAGGCGGCCACACCAGACATCGAGGGGGGCGAGACCCAGTTTCTACTGGATCTAAACCAAGAGGAGGACGATGTTCTGCAGATGGACCAGGAGGTTCTCGATCTGTCCGAAGACGACGAGGAGCCGTGCCCAGCTCACTCCACCCCAGCTGCTGAGAGGGTGGACCAGGATTCGTCCTTCTTGTCCCTGTGCCACCGAGCTGCTGCTAAACTGGAGGTACAGTGGCCCGACCCCCCACCTGCTCAAAAGCCGTCGAGGTTCGCAGGGTTTTACTGTATCTCCCGTCTGAACCAGCTGATGTGAAGCACCGTCTGCCTATGTTTCCAGACTTTGTGTCGGAGCTGACGTCTTCCTGGAGCAAACCGCTGTCCATCCACGCCTTCGTGCCCGGACAGGGTCAGTACTTGGTCATGGAAGGGGCAGACCAAGCATATCTTCCTAAGGTGATACCTTCTAGTTACAGCTCTATGTCTATAGCGCTTTCCAGCTTTCACCCCCACATCTGAGGAACAAAAGAGGCTGCATCTTCTGTGCCCCGTACGTGCTCTATGCACTTACATCAGCCGCACACAGGATGTAAGGTCATGTGATCAGCTGCTTGTGGCTGTTGCTAACCCACACAGAGGTAAAGCTCTTTCTAGACAAAGACTCTCTCACTGGATTGTAGAGGCCATCTTGCTAGCATACAGCAGCNAAACTGAAGCGATGCATTCTGGGTACATGACGGATTTGATTTGTGACAGGAAACGAAAGCACTCAGTACAGGAAACTATCTTCTCTTCAAAATAAGAGCTTGGATTTTAAAGTTTTCCATGTAGTTGCTCCAGTTGACCACTAGATGTCTGTCTTCATCAGCATTACATCTTTAAATCGTTTCTGAGTCTCTAAGTTGGCAGATTGCTTCGACCAATTACGTCAAGTATTGAGCTCCAGCGTTTAAACTTTATTTAAATTTTTTTTAAAGGAGCTCTGATTGTAAAGTAAAATAAATCAATACATACAAAATTTTAGTATGGATTACAAACGATAACTGTTTTTGCTCTTGCCTTCCTGCTACGTAAGCAGACACAAAGCATTGTGGGAAATCAGAACCGTGACAGAAAGCAACAGTCAGCAAGGATATATATCTTCTCAATAAGTGCATTTATCTGGGAGGGGTGCTTTTGGATAGATCACATGTGTTGTGTTCCTTTTCAGTCATTTCACTCAGTACAACACACAGTTGTATATGGGACATGCGCGCCCTCGTGCGCCTGGCTGAAGCCACCTCTAATCACGTCTTTAGACCGGTGATGTGGTGACGTTGAACGTCGGGTGACAGGCTCCGCCTTCACCCTATAAGTTCGGAGTCACCAGCGTCATTACTCAGTTCTATCGCCCTTCACCTCGCGATAGTCACCTCTAAAACTGAGCTCACATAGCTGCTGCTAGTTAGCTCAGCTTCTAGAAGGTTCTTAGGCTAGCTTTACTGGTGCTAACCGCGTTACCTGCTGGTTCGTGTATCTGTCACTCGACGCTACTTAAGTGACCTTTATTTTCTGCTGAAAATCTGTTTTGTGGTTCACGATGAGCACAAAACCACCTTCAAAGAAGCCAAAGTCTTCTGTTCGCCCCTGTCCTCAGGGGTGCGGCTTTAAGCTTCATGAGAAGGACCAGCATGAGGCCTGCCCAGCCTGCCTAGGAATCATTCACGCTCGACGGGCGCTTGTGGAGCCCGAGTCCTGCCGGGCCTGTGCCGGACTTTCGCGTCCGACACTGGAGAGGAGAGTGAAATTCCTGGAGAAAATGCTGTTTTCCGACAAGACCCGCTGCTCTCCGAATCCAGCCAGACGGCTCAGTCCGACGAAGACGAGGATTCGGC